CTCCTGGGTTCAAGCAATTCTTCTGCCTCAGCCTCCCGAGTAGCAGGGACTACAGGCGTTTGCTGCCATGCCCGGCTAATTTTTGTATTTTTAGCAGAGAAGGGGGTTTCACCATGTTGGCCAGGCTGGTCTTGAACTCCTGACCTCATGATCCGCCTGCCTTGGCCTCCCAAGTGCTGGGATTACAGGCATGAGCTATCACACCTGGTCTGTCAAACTTTATTTATTTATTTATTTTGAGACAGAGTTTCACTCTTATTACCCAGGCTGGAGTGCAATGGCGTGATCTCAGCTCACCGCAACCTCCGCCTCCTGGGTTCAGGCAATTCTCCTGCCTCAGCCTCCCGAGTAGCTGGTACTACAGGCGTGCGCCACCATGCCCAGCTAATTTTTGTATTTTTAGTAGAGACGGGGTTTCACCTTGTTGACCAGGATGGTCTCGATCTCTTGACCTTGTGATCCACCTGCCTCGGCCTCCCAAAGTGCTGGGTTCACAGGCGTGAGCCACCGTGCCCGGCCAGTTATATTCTTCAGTACCTTGCTGGTTACTGTTATCCTTGATGAAATTTTTAGTTTCCTGGTACATCATTTATAATGAAAATTGTTGATCTTTCCTTTTGAATAAATTAGAATCCTTGAAAATGAGTCACAATAAATTTTATGTTTTATATATGGAATAAGTGTTCATAAGCAAGTACCCCAGGTCACCAGCTGCTTAAAATAAAACTGTTCATCAGAATTTGATGCAACGAATTAATATCGACGAATTCCCCTGTAGGCAGAGGAAGAGTTCAACATAGAGAAAGGTCGGCTTGTGCAAACCCAAAGACTAAAGATTATGGAGTATTATGAGAAGAAAGAGAAACAGATTGAACAGCAGAAGAAAATGTAAGTAGATCCTGGTTGCAGTATTAAGCTAAGGACGTTTTCAGGAGTCATGAGATGAAGACAGAGCAGGTGCTTTGGAGTCAGGCATATATAGATTGAGGGCTTAACTCGACCACCTGCTCCTAATACGACCTTGGACAAGTTGTTTAACTTCTCTGTCTTCATTTGTGAAAATGGAAGCCTCATGGGATTATTCGAAGATTAAACTGCAGGCTAGGCAAGGTGGCTCACACTTGTAGTTCTAGTGCTTTGGGACGCCAGGGTAGGAGGACTGCTTGAGCTCAGGAGTTCAAGTTCTTTCTCTACGGTTTTTTAATTTTTTAAAATGTATTCCTTTCATTAGAGAACTAGGTAAACTTCACATTACACGGCCAAGGCCAGAATAATATTGCAGTTAGAATGTGTTCAATCAGCTAGCCACAATTTAAGCAGGTGAGATTTCAACAAGGAGGTGACTGTGTTCCTCCAAACAACCTTCATTTAGGAAGATGACATTCCTCCAATATGTGGGAAGACAAATGCACTTTCTTCTCTCTGCCACTGTGGAAGAAATTCTCCCTCTTGAGGGACCAACACTATTTCTTTTTTGCTGTTCTTTTCCCTTCTTCTTTTTTTTTTTTTGAGACGGAGTTTCGCTGTTGTTACCCAGGCTAGAGTGCAATGGTGCGATCTCGGCTCACCGCAACCTCCGCCTCCTGGGTTCAGGCAATTCTCCTGCCTCAGCCTCCTGAGTAGCTGGGATTACAGGCACGCGCCACCATGCCCAGCTAATTTTTTGTATTTTTAGTAGAGACGGGGTTTCACCATGTTGACCAGGATGGTCTCGATCTCTTGACCTCGTGATCCACCCGCCTTGGCCTCCCAAAGTGCTGGGATTACAGGCGTGAGCCACCGCGCCCGGCTTCCACGAAGCTTCTTTAGTCTTTTTGCTCATCCATGAAATCCTGATGATCATCTCTGTAGAGTCCAAGAAGTGGGAGTGTCCGCACGAGTCCGGAGTAAGTGTGTTGGTCTGGATACCAGTCAGAAGTCTCCTTCTTGGCCAAGGGCAGTTCACTAAACAGTTACACCACTTTCATAGACGTGGAATTGGTAGGCCTGGCGACTTCACCAGATAGCCAGGCACTGAGATGAGATGTGTGCAAGGTGTGTTCCGAAACGGAGGCCATTCCTTGAGTGGCAAGGCAGGAATTTAGAGTTCCTGGGCCTTCCTCACCCATCTCTCTACAGTTTTAAGTTGTTACTGATGCTGCTCTTCAATATCATTTTGCAGTCAGATGTCCAATTTGATGAATCAAGCAAGGCTCAAAGTCCTCAGAGCAAGAGATGACCTTATCACAGTGAGTACTTAGCCCCTATTAGTTGTGAAATTATAACACGTTCATTCGTTTGCCTGTTGTAGATTACTAGTTACCATTAATTAAGGAGTTGATGGAATAATTTTTAGAGCGAAAACATTTATTCAACGATTTGTTGTTATACTACGTATTATAATAAGTACAAGAATGAATAAGAGCCAAGCCCTGTATTCAAGGACCTTCTGATCTAAAGAGCATGTAAGACCCGCCTGGATCACCGCACACACTATGGGTGTGCTGCACATTCCAGAGGGTACAGGGACCCAGTGAGCCTGATACGGAGGCCATGAGTGTGAGACTGAAGAGCTTCACCTGTTTTCAACGGAAAGCCATGGATATTTTTTGTATTGTTTTGTGGAAAATATAATAAATAAGGCTCGTGATATAAGTGTGCTGGCTAAGTTTAACGGGGAAGAGGCTAGAAAGAAAACCTTGTGGAAAGTATTACAATCCTCCAAGGAATAGGGCAGAAACTTTCAGAAGCGTCCACTTCATTGAGAAAGTGTAGAGATATTTGGGGTATATTCCTAGACCAAACAGGGATGGCTGCATTTCCACTGTCACTCATTGTGACTCTGGAGGCCCTAGATTGCTTATGAGATGGAGAAATTAGTTACATAAATATTGAGATAGAAGAAACAAAATTACCATCTTTGCAGATGTGGTTATTCACCCAGAAAACATAAGATCCTATAATTAATCCAGACATGTGACTGCCTATAAACACAGTAGGAAATGAGTAGTTTTCCTGTGCGCCAGCAATAACCAATTTGCAAGTAAAATAAGAGATCTCTTTATAATAGCTACTGAAGTTATTACATTACTAGGAGTAAGTCATATATGAAAAAAAAACTATGAAACTTAAATAGATGGAAGACATACTGTTTCCTTAGATGAGAAAGAAGCAGAACCAATATTGCAAGTTGTCAGTTCTTAGTAGATTGATCAGGTATGGTGACTGAGAGAACTGAATGGGGTGTTAGTGTTGATGCAGTTGACTACTGATTGACTCCTCGTTTTCTCCAAGTCCATCACTAAATTCTGAGTATCAGGTGTGGATAACTAGGAGCATGGTGGGTCCGTTAACACAAATGGGAAATTGCTGAGATGTTTTGTTAAGGAAAATAACCAGATCTTTTTTCTGTTTGTTTGGCATCCCTGGGTGGACTTGACTTTTGGGCACGTTTGAGGGGCCAAGAAACCTCCAGATGGAAGTGTCAGTGAGGATGTCGAGTGTGAAGGACTGATATTTAGGACACTGTAGACATGACTTACTAACATAACTCCCATATTACTTCAAATAGTAAAAGTGTCCCCAAATTTAAGTGCTTTATCTGCTTTTAGACTCCAGGAATGTGGGAAAACAGATAATCTGTTGCTGATTTATCTTGCCTCATGGGATTAGTTCACCCCTTTAAAATGCAAAAGGAGGGCCAGGTGCAGTGGTTCACGCCTATAATCCCAGCACTTTGGGAGGCTGAGGCGGGTGGATCACAAGGTCAAGAGATCAAGACCATCCTGGCCAACAAGGTGAAACCCCGTCTCTACTAAAAAAAAAAAAAAAAAAGAAATACAAAAATTAGCTGGGCATGGTGGTGCGTGCCTGTAGTCCCAGCTACTTGGGAGGGTGAGGCAGGAGAATTTTGGTGAGCTGAGATGGGGCCATTGCACTCCAGCCTGGGTAACAAGAGTGAAACTCTGTCCCAACAAATAGATGATAGACTAGATAGATAGATAGATAGATAGATAGAGAGATAGAGAGATAGAGAGATAGAGAGTGAAGAGCTCCAGCCTGGGTAACAAGAGCCAAACCCTGTCCCCCAAAATAAATAAATAAATAAACGAAATGCGAAAGGAAGAGTAAAGAGCTCCATCCAGCCTGGGTAACAAGAGGGAAACTCTGTCCCCCAAAATAAATAAATAAATAAATAAACAAATAAAATGCAAAAGGAAGAGTAAAGAGTTTCCTGGGGAAATGTTGTCTGCAAAATGTTACTAGCTCAGGACAGCTGTTATTGTGTGTCTTCTCTAAAGTGTCAGTAATCAGGAGTTGATTTCCTTCCAGGGGTTCAGATTTCTTTAGCAACTTGAATTGATTGAACTAACTTAGAAGCGGCTTTTAGAATAATAGTGTGTCTTAGGGAAGGTAGTTTGTTGTAGAAGCCCTTGTGGCTTAAGACCCAATCAGCTGTGGGTTTAAATGTCAACTCTACCATGTTGGTTTGTCTAAATTATTATTTCTGACCCTCAGTTTTCTCTTGTATTCATTATATATGTTAGATTCATTATGACGTTTGGTTCAGAGGACTTAGGAGAATCGAATGAGAGAACGCATTTAAGTCCTCTGGCATCTGGCATTTGGCATATCCTATCTAAGAAATGTTAGTTTCTGTTCTCCAGCCCCGTCTCCGTCAGTGATAACCCTTCCTTCTCATCACAGGCCTGTGTAGCTTTCTTAGCTTATTGGTGCTAATGCCCAGGAAGCCAATTGACTATAGTCTTTTCATTATTTAGGCCCAAAGTAAAAAATGACCACTGTGACATCTGCATAGATACTATTTGTACAATTCAAAAAAGTTTAGAGGCACGTAATGTTAATGTCTTGGCAGCATTCCTACATATAAGTAGCAAGAGCTGTAACACGAGGGTATAGCAGAAGGTTATGATCTTAGCCAGTAAATGGATTTTGGAATTAGGTTTTTTATTTGTTTTTTTTTTTATATTAAACTTATGGTTTTATTCAGGTTTGATTTTAAAAATATGGAACGCTTAACGAATTTGCGTGTCATCCTTGGCAGGGGCCATGCTAATCTTCTCTATCGTTCCAAAGTTAGTACACGGGCTGCCGAAGCAAGCACTGGTTTGTTTTTTATGCTGCCTTTTTGAAGGTTCATAATAGTGGAAAGGATTCTGAGAAAAATAATCTAACATATTAGAGAAATGGTTTCGATGTTAATTCTCTGATGCAGCCAGATGTTTTAGATGGGAACTGGATGTAAGCAACCCATAGGTCTAGTGGATTTGACTTTACTTCTAATTTTAACTTATTATTTCTTGCCCTTGTTTTCTCTTTGCTCTGATTTTTTAATCACTTGTTTATATTTTATTAGTTAATAGATTTTTTTTTTTTTTTTTTTTTTGAGGCGGAGTCTCATTTTGTCACCCAGGCTGGAGTGCAGTGGTGTGATTTCAGCTCACTGCAACCCCCACCTCCCAGGTTCAAGCAATTCTCCTATCTCAGCCTCCCGAGTAGCTGGGATTACGGGCTTGCGCCACCATGTCTGGCTGTTTCTGTATTTTTAGTAGAGATGGGGTTTTGCCATGTTAGCCAGGCTGGTCTCGAACTCCTGACCTCATGATCCACCCACGTTGGCCTCCCAAAGTGCTGGGATTACAGGTGTGAGCTACCATGCCAGGCCATTTTGTTAGTTATTTTTTCTTTTTTTTTTTTTTTTTGTTTTGTTTTGTTTTCACATTTTTATTGGGAGCTGAAGGCTCACCTTGGTCAGTGGAGGTGCTCACAGGTTCTTCAGCCACTCCAGGCTGGGCCCCTGGGGGTCCTGGGGGTGGCTGGGTATGTCGGGCATGTTCCCATCATCTCGGAGAGGCACTGGGTAGTTGTAGGGCGTGGCCTTGTTGATCATGACAGAGTACTTGAAGTAGGGGCTGATTGGGGGCAGAATTATAGCAAGGGTCCTGATGAAGAAGGACACGACCAGTACTGGCTCCTTGGCCCAAGCATTCTTGAGGAAGGCACCGAGTCTCGCGGCCATCTTGGTCTCGGCAGCGGCGACACCGTTTTTTCTAATGTGCTTTTTAACAAATGTAATTTAACATTTTCATTAGCTATACGTCTATAAGCTGCCTTAAATCTATTTTTTTTTTTTTTTTTTTTGAGATGGAGTTTTGCTCTTGTTACCCAGGCTGGAGTGCATCATGTTGACCAGGATGATCTCGATCTCTTGACCTCGTGATCCACCCGCCTCGGCCTCCCAAAGTGCTGGGATTACAGGCTTGAGCCACCGCGCCGGGCCCAAATCTATTAAAATACGTAAATAATTACTGGTTGGCTTTTAGAATGAATTTTTAATTATTTATTTTTTTTATTATTATTTTTTTAAGAGACAAGGTCTGGCTCTGTTGTCCATAGCTCACAAACTCCTGGGCTCAAGCAGTCCTTCCCACCTCCGCCTCCTATGTAGCCGTGATTATAGATACAAGCCACCATGCCTGGCCTCAGAAGGAAAATTTGAAGTGACACAGATAAGAAAATTTGACACCGAAAATTCAGATCATTCATTGATATCAAATACTTGAATATCGGTGCCTCGCAACTTTTTTACCTTCTTTGTGGAGTATTCATACAGTTTTTTTGCATTTTAGTAACATCAGTCATGATACACAGTGGTTTTCACATTTTGAGGTGGAAGATATGAAAAGAGTTCAGGATGGGCGCGGTGACTCACGCCTGTAATCCCAGCACTTAGGGAGGCCAAGGCGGGCGGATCACTTGAAGTCAGGAGTTTGAGACCAGCCTGGCCAACATGGTGAAACCCTGTCTGTACTAAAAATACAAAAGAATTACCTGGGCATGGTGGCACACGCCTGTAGTCCCAGCTACTCGAGAGGCTGGGGCAGGAGAATCACTTGAACCTGGGAAGTGGAGGTTGCAGTGAGCTGAGATTCCACCACTGCACTCCACTGCATGCCAGCCTGGGTCACAGAGTGAGACTCCATCTCAAAAAAGAAAAGAAAGTGCAGTGGTATGGAAGGAATATGTTTCATTTTCATGAAATTGAATATGTTTTAATTTCAATTTAGGATAGTTTTCTAAAATACAGTTATCATTTTCTTTCTTTCTTTCTTTCTTTCTTTCTTTTTTTTGGTCAAAGATGAAGTTTCACCATTATGGACAGGCTGGTATTGAACTCCTGACCTCAGGTGATCCACCCACCTCGGCCTCCCAAAGTGCTAGGATTATAACCGTGAGCCACGGCACCCGGCCTATTTATCATTTTCTTTAAGAGGTGGCTCATGCCTATAGTCACATCACTTTATTTATTTATTTTTGAGACGGAGTTCTCGCTCTTGTTCCCCAGGCTGGAGTGCAATGGCGCGATCTCGGCTAACCGCAACCTCTGCCTCCTGGGTTCAGGCAATTCTCCTGCCTCAGCCTCCTGAGTAGCTGGGATTACAGGCACACGCCATCATGCCCAGCTAATTTTTTGTATCTTTAATAGAGACGGGGTTTCACCATGTTGACCAGGATGGTCTCGATCTCTTGACCTCGTGATCCACCCGCCTCGGCCTCTCAGAGTGCTGGGATTACAGGCTTGAGCCACCGCGCCCGGCCCAGTCACATTACTTTATGAGGCAAAGGTGGGAGTATGGTTTGAGGCCAGGAGTTTGAGACCAATCAGTCTGATAAACATAGGGAGACAAAAATTTTGTCTGTACAAAATTTTTTTTTAAATTAGCAAGGTGTGGTAGCGCATGCCTGTGGTCCCAGCTACTCTGGAGGCTGAGATGAGAGAATCACTGGAGTCCAAGAGCTTGAGGCCCCAGGGAGCTGTGATTATGTCACTGCACTCCAGCAGTGACACAGGGAGACCCTGTCTCTAAAATAAAAAAGAATTAAAAAAAGAAATAGGCTAGAGAAAAATAATTCTCTTTTATGACCTTGAAACACAGAGCAGTCATGCAGTTTATACCACGTTTTCCCTGGATTTAGTCGCTCTCTGAGTTTAAAATTGTTGCAAATAAAATTCTGGTTTGGGTACTCATTGTATCCCTCAGTTGTCACTCTTCTATTTTCACATTGTAACTTAGCTGAGTTCCCTTCAGGCAGTAAGCTATTGGAATTTTTTTTTTTTTTTTTTTGAGATGGAGTCTCACACTGTAGCCCAGGCTATAGTGCAGTGGTGTGATCTTGGCTCACTGCAATCTCTGCCTCCTGGGTTCAAGCATTTCTCCTGTCTCAGCCTCCCAAGTAGCTGGGACTATAGGCGTGTGCCACCATGTCCAGCTAATTTTTTTTTTTTTTGAGACGTACTTTCTGCTCTTGGTACCCAGGCTGGAGTGTAATGGCGTGATCTTGGCTCACCACAACCTCCGCCTCCTGGGTTCAGGCAATTCTCCTGCCTCAGCCTCCCGAGTAAGCTGGGATTACAGGCACGAGCTACCATGCCCAGCTAATTTTTTGTATTTTTAGTAGAGACGGGGTTTCACCATGTTGACCAGGATGGTCTCGATCTCTCGACCTTGTGATCCATCCGCCTCGGCCTCCCAAAGCGCTGGAATTACAGGCTTGAGCCACCGCGCCCAGCCAATTTTTTTGTATTTTTAGTAGAGACTGGGTTTCACCCTGTTGGTTAGGATGGTCTTGATCTCCTGACCTCGTGATCCGCCCACCTTGGACTCCCAAAGTGCTGGGATTACAGATGTGAGCCACCGCATCCGGCCAGTGGTTTGCATTTATCCCATGTGTCCTGTATTGTGGTAGGCCCTCTAGGAGGACTCTGCAGTTTAACAGGACCTGGACAAGGTAATATATCTCCACTACAACTGTTTGAGCATGATCTTGAAGAATTAGTCATGAGATAGGAGACAGAATGGAGAGAGCAGTATGAGTGAAAAACTGAGACCTGAATTTGACATGTGCAGGAAATGGAAGTAGTCTGGCAGAGTGGATGGTAGGCAGAGTTCAGGCCACATATTAGAATCTAATCAGAAGGGCCCTGAGTGTCTGCTAAAGAATGTGGACTTTACCCTTTTGGCTAATTCTCAAATTTAAAAATCACCCAGGGCACCTTGTTAAAATGCAGATGTTCATTCCCATTTCCAGAGGCTTTTTTTTTAAGTCTCACTCTGTTGCCCAGGTTGGAGTGTCGTGGCACAATCTTGGCTCACTGCAACCTCCACCTCCCAGGTTTAAGCAATTCCCATGCCTCAGCCTCCCTCCCAGGCAGGTAGGATTACAGGTGCCTGCCACCATGCCCTGCTAATTTTTGTATTTTTAGTAGAGACAAGGTTTCACCATGTTGGTCAGGCTGGTCTCTAACTCCTGACCTCAGGTGATCCACCCGCCTCAGCCTCCCAAAGTGGGATTACAGGCCGGCTGAGACTTTTATATTCTAGTCAGGAATCAGCATTTAACAAGCATTTCAGGGTAACCTTGGTACAGGTGGTCAGAGAACCACATTTTGAGAAATAGTGTTTTCATGATTGCATTTGTTTTCGAGAAAGACCCCTGATGACCATGTGGAATAGGAATGAGGGTGTGGCTTACCTTCCAGGTCAAGAAGTAGAAAGGCCTAAACCAGGCTTGGCGAGGTGGCTCATGCCTATAATTACAGCACTTTGGGAGGCCAAGGAGGGCGGACACCTGAGGTTGGGAGTTCGAGACCAGCTTGATCAACGTGGAGAAACTCCGTCTCTACTCAAAATACAAAACATTAGCTGGGCGTGATGGCATGAGCCTGTAATCTCAGCTACTCGGAAGGCTGAGGCAGAAGAATCGCTTGAACCTGGGAGGTGTAGGTTGTGGTGAGCTGAGATCGTGCCATTGCACTCCAGGCTGGGCAACAACTCCGTCTCCAAAAAAAAAAAAGAGGCCTAAACCATGGCGGCAGGTGGCAGCAGCAGAAAGAGAAGAGAGATCCTAAAAAGGTGGGGTCTGTAGGACTTGATGACTTAGAGTTGTGATGAGCAAATACAGAGGAGTCGAGAATGACAGAAGGGTTTATGGTCTCATCAACTAGTAGATGGATGAAGATCAGAAATACAGGAAGAACAGGTGGTAAGGAATAGTGAAAAAACTCATTGCATTTGAATTGCCTTAGGATTCCAGGTGAAGATC